AGCCCCTTACCGTGCCAGGACGGGGATAGGGCACACGGCCCTTGTATTCTACCCAGCGGTAGTCAAATCCTTCCTTGTGTGCAAAGGGGCCGCTGAAGGCAGCTCTCACAGCAGCCATGGAATAGATGCAGACAGCAGAGCCACTGAAGACACCGCTGCAGGGGGAGAGTGGGGCTGTCATGTCACTGCCAGCCTGGGGGACCATGACCCTGAGCCCATGCTGTCCCTTGTCAGCCCTGGAGTTGTGCACAGCACCCAGAGGGTGAGGGGAATGCTTTTGGCACAGTCAGTCCAGCCTGGCATGGACCGTCAGCTGTGCTGGTGCCAAACCTGGTGGTTTGACAGATGGGCTGGTGAGCCAGCAGCAGGAAAAGCAGTGAATGGCTGGTGGCCCTTCTCTGCCAGCTGGGTGCCAGTCCTGCCCTTCTCCCCTGCAGGGCTCCCCATGAGACAGACTGGTGAGGGACTGGCAGGGGCTGGACTGCTCCACGCAAGGGTTAGCCCGAGGCCCGCCCAGAGCCCTGCTCACCTGGAGACAGTGAAGAGACCAAAGACAAGGGGGTTCTGGGGGTCTCGGGTGCGCAGGAGGAAAACATCTTCTGCAAAGAGAGGGATGGGGATGAGTCTCCCAGGAGCTGGAGCACCGTTGCTGGGGATGCAGGTGGACATCCTTGGCTGGCCATCCCCATGGGGAAGGGCAAGGAGCCACTGTGGTGAAGCAGCATTGCTCCTGGCTGCCGAGGGGGCTGTGTGCTCACCGAGCTGGTCGAAGTGGGTCTCGGTGCCCTGGGGCCCAGGGATGGAGCACACCAGGCGGGCCTTGAGGAACGTGCTCCAGCGGTTGATGAGGCTGCGCTTCCCTCCAACGTCGTTCTGTTGGGCACCGAGAGCTGAGCTGAGTCCAGCCTCTCTAAGTCTCCCTCACCACCACACGCTCCTCCATCCCCACAGTGTGACACCCCTGGCCCTGAGCTGTCTGCTCTGTGGTAGGTGTGTGGTGACGCCCTCACATCCTGCTCTTGGCCCCTGCTTGGGATGCCCCATAGCCCAAAGGAGGTAAAAGCCCACCTGGTGGGACACCTGGCCATGGTGTGCTGGCCTTTGGTGACTGACCTTGCAGACCCGGGCCACCCTGGCATGGATGTGCCGCCTCTCCCACTGCCCAGCTTCCATGGCTGTCTCGCGGAAGAAGATGTAGACCTTGTCATCGTGCGGGTTGTAGGTATCAGGGATGGCGTAGGCACTGACAAACGTGGGCTCTGCAGGATGAAGAAGCAGCACAGCATGGCCCCATGCCCTGATCCAAACCTTTTGTACTGCCCTTGAAAGCCCTTGCAAACAGCGTGAGATGCTCAGGGTACAAAAGCTGCCTCACAGAGACTCTGCTTCCCAGAAAGTGGGGCCCTTTTCCTCGTGCCCAGGCTGCAGAGCGCATGCTGGAGTGCGGATCCCACCAGAGGCTTCCTCAGTGCCTCCCCAAGCAGAGGAGAAGGGGGCCAGACCGCCGAGCTCTGACCCCAGTGCTGGTCCCAGCCTGGCCCCAGCAGACAGGACAGCTCGCTGCTCCCCACAGGTCCCCCCACTCATACCATGTAGCCAGTGGTCCTGGTTTTGCTCTGTGCGGATGTAGCTCTGCTCAGCCCCGTGGATCCAGGTCCGGAAGAAGGCAGCGCTGCTGCCCATGAAGTCACTGGAGGTGCCCGAGTACAGCTCCCCATCTGCGGGGTCAGAGGGTGGGTCAGGGTGCTGCTAATGGAAGTACACTGGCAAGATTCCCCTGTCTCCTCGAAGGATTGAGGAGGGTGAGGATGGCACAGCCTGGCCAGGAGACTCCTCCAGGTCCACAACCCAGCACGGCTTCTAGCCCTGCAACCCACCCAGTGCTTGCACAGTGTCGGTACGAGGTGGGCAGGCTGGTGGCACCACGTGCCCTCACGCCAGCGCCACTCGATCTGCACCCTGCAGTTGTCATTCTGCTCAGGACCCGTGAGGCTGGGGTGAGCCGGGGCAGGATCGAGCTCTGCGGGATGGACCCTCCTGCTCTCACCTGCTCAGACCCCAGCCCTGTACCGCAGCCACCCACAGCAGAGCAGGGGTGCAGGTGATGCTGCTGTCACCTCCCAGCACAGACCATTCCCAGTGCTCCCACCTTCCAGCATTGCCTTGGCTCCCCGCCCTCACTTACCGACAAGGAGTCCTGTGAAGGGTTCGTGGGGGCTGTATGGGCACCGTCCTCGCCCCGATTCCAAGGAGTGGGTCACCAGTCTCATGGGGGGAGCCCCAGGGCCCTGCCAGAGCCAAACAGGATATGTCAGTCCAGGGGGAGGCTGGAAACCAGCCGGGCATGTGGAGGAAAGTGGGAAAGAGGCCAGTGTGCTCAGCTCTGCAACAAGATGACCCCTTGAGGGGGCTGTCAGGTCCAGGCCCTGTCCCCACTGGGCTCTCTGGAACTGCCAAGCTGGGACTACTTCTTGCCATTTGTGGCAAGTCCATGCAGACAGCTGGGACTGCGTCAGCGTGGCCACCCTCGCCAGATTCTGGGGCTTCCTCTCTTCCCAGTTACAGGGTCACATGCCCAGGATAGGGGTGTTCTGCGGGTCTCTTGCTGCCTTCTGCAAAGGGCATGTGGCTGTGCAGGATGTTCCTCACCTTCCCTCGGGCTCCCAGCTGGATGAAGGCACAGACGGGCTGGTAGGAGCCAGTCCCACAGGCGAACACGTGGGTCCTGTTAAAGGGCTGGAGGAGGCGGATGAAGTTGGCACAGTCTGTCTGCTCAAGGGGAGATGTTTGTTAGCGGGCTGAGCCCAGGTCTGGGCACTTGGTGCCCAGCCCCATGGCATGTCTGCTTGAGATGCAGGCGCTCAACCAGATCCTCCTCC